GACCTTTTTCACGAGCTTCCCTTTTCAGTCTGTCAACAAGGTCATGGTAAAAAACAAAAGAAAAAAAAAAAAATTGCCTCAATTCCCATTTTGGGCAGCGTAAAAGATATTAAAAACAGCTCAAAAACTAATCATAATGATTGTAACATGCGACCAACCTTGGCTCTGCCGTGCCAAGATGAAATACGCCCACGAAACAACACCCAATGAAGATTGATGAATATGCTATCCAACGGTACTGGAAAAGTTAATGTGAGGTGAGAAAAAACCCCAAAGAAAATTATAGAAAATCAAAATTTAAAACACTAATATCTTACGCACCTGATTCTCGACATCAATAACTGACCCGCTCGAGTTTATTTGGAAAACCACAAATGCAACGGCGTATAGACTGAGATTTGCAATCTTCAGGGAAGAAAGGCGAACGATTACAAGTTAAAAGGTTAATGAATGAAAGCACAACAAAAAAATGGTTTCAATTAAAAAGGCAGAAATAAAGTTGGTACCATTGCAAATGCATTTCGACAGCTCGCCAAAACTACTCTGCTTGTAGAGTTCAAAGTGATGCAGTTCACCATGGACCTAACAATACAGGAGGCAGAAGACTGAATAATTATTAGTTATTAATTACTTCAGCTCCAAAAATATAAAGCTAAAATTCGAGTCAATCCGTTTGAAGCACATTCCAAAAAGCCAATAGAAAAGAGTGAAAGATTTCCATTACATGTGTGAAACTTGAGTAGCAGCCCAGCCTACATTGAAAATTGCAGCAAAGAAGCTATAGCCAATGGTCTGCATCGAGGACGAATTGGACCCCACAATTTTGCAAGACAAGCACCCACCAAAAACTGAAGAAAACGAAACAGCAACTAGAACAGATCCCGCTGCATGCCATACTTTAAAATGTCCGTACCTGTCAATCTATCATCAAAAACAGTAAAAAATAAAACACTTAAATAGTTGTATTTAATTTCCTTGAACCCGATCAAGGTCAGGGGCCATGTGGGAATGACAAAAGTTTATTTGTGCATAGCTTTCTTAAATACTTCAAGTCTTAGGATTCTCTAACAATACACACAAGAGAGGATAGTACTCACAAATTTAGATATGGATGTTCAAAAGATAATCGTCAGTAATTTATCTTCCAAGTGGATTAACTAACAGTAGCTCACTTGGGCCTGTGCTAAATCTCCAAGAATAACTTCAACTAATAGAAATGTTTCTCATCCTAATTATTATTCGAAGCTGACAGAAATCCACCAATTTCCGTTTGCAGAGAGTTAATACGGCAGTATTGTAATAAACTAGGCCACTATTACACTAAAACTCAATAATATATTATGCCATTGGTTGTTGCCTTATAATCTTCCAATCTTTCTTTCCTTAAAAACTTCTGTTGAACTGTAATTCAGTGAAGCTGGACGGACGGCAGATATTTCACATCTAACTTACACAAAATAGCACTTTTGCAAGAAGATTAGTCGAACACTGATTAACACTTATTTACTAGGTCAATACATACCAGTTCGCCAGCAAATATGGTTGTGAACCCATCGGCAATTTGACCAGAGAGCATGACTACAGCAGCATCTCTGTGAAATAAAATGTCAGCACGCAAAAACTCAATCAGTAATAGCTTAGAAAAATTCACCTGTATAATGTATAAAGTGGACTACATTTTCATAGTTCATGGATCATATTCTGAAGATCAAATGCTCTGTCCTCATTAATCTTCCGTTTGGCAGAAAGCATTTGATACAATACGAACGGTCTCGCCAAAACTCGTAACTTGGTCGCAAGCAGACACTAGTTATCATATATATATATATATATATCCAGATGAATTCTCTCTCTAAACTCTAAAACGAGCAAGAACAAAGGGAAGAAGACAAGAGAATTATAACCTGGGGGGCAGCCCAATATCCGTGAGAAAGACCAATAGATAAGTGAACCAACAAGCAGATGTTACATCGTTCAGCATATGTCCCACCCCGTAATAGAAAACCGAGCACCTCCCGAGGGGCCTGGTGCCGGATTCATCGTCCGTGGGGCCCCCAGCCATCCTGTTTAGAGTATGAAGACAACTAAGTGGCTAATTACATAATCCCAAAGAAAGAATGTGTTCTGTATGATCCTTTTACATTCATTCCATTCATAATGTTTGACAGTAAAAAACCTCTACCCAGGGTTCTTCCCACTCAAGACCAACTTGAAGTGACCTCCATCTTTCACTAGCTAGAAATGTTGAATTGATCGAATTGAGAGCCAAATCTCCTGTTTATTGAAAGAGTTTTTGTTCTAACACATTCGTACAACTCAGCAAACACAAGAATTACATTACATTTCATGAGAAACACACACACACACACACAGATCAGAGAGAGAGAGAGAGAGAGAGAGAGAGAGAGAGAGAGAGATAGAGTTTTCAAGATAAACAAGATGAACTAATATATTGGGACGTGTGCCACATTAAGTTGGCAAAATTTGACATCTTGAAGCAAACTAATCCCATACCTTCTTGATTGTGAGTGATTCAGGTAGAGCTCATCAACCTTTAGCGACAAAAAAAAAAAAAAAAAAAAGCAGTGTTTTCAGATTTTCTTCTTGCACTAAGAGAGTAGTGTATCAAAGCAAGGTATAAACTTCCTCGTGCTCCCTTTTTCTTTAGTGAGTGTTAATTGCATAAAGACCATTTGCTCTCTGAAACCGAAACGAATATAGTAATATAATAGAGGATCACGCCTACGCGCCACCTATACGTAATACGTTGGGAACTCAAACAAAGTGACTGAGGACTTAAATTACCGTCATGCCCCTTTTCAATTGATGAAGAGTCGAAGAAGCTAGTGATATCGACCAGTGCTTTAACGCCTAGGCGGCGCCTGATATGGTCCGAGATCGGTGGATCCGGTCTTACGGAAGGTTCTTCCCGGTTATGGCGTTGGCTTACTTAATTTGGTCCGGTCCGAGCTTGAGTGTTCCCCGGTACCTGAAAGCGCGCCGGAATTTCTCCGGCGCAAGCCCTCCGACGCCCAAGTTAGGATCTCGAATTTAGAGAGAGAATTGTGTGTAATAAATGTTGTGGTAAAACATTAATGAAGACTTACCTTTCTCTAGTGAATTAACCCTTTATATAGTGTCTGAGTTGTACGGCTCCGCGTACCTAAAATCTTGCTAGTAAGGGTCGAACCGGGATTGATGTTCGACCCCTTACCTGTGGTGTTGACGTGCGGCCTTGGCTATGAGGATTAGACTATGGCCAATGTTCGACCTTCGCCGTACGGGCTCCATAGGTCGATCGCTAGGGATTGATCCCTTGCGGGTCGACCACTCCTTGGTATGGCTATGCGGGTCGACCGTTGGGTGTTAGGGGCGAGTGTGTTA